AATTTGGGGGGAACACGTTCGGTCCACAGCAGTGACGCACTGCTGGGAGAATAAAGAGCATCCTGTGTGACTCCACTGTTAGAGAACTTTGGAAGCTTGCACCTGGTTTCCTCTGGGCTTTACTCCATGCAGCTTTTCTTTGTGCTGATTTTGTTTTGTATCCTTTTGCCATAATAAATGGTAGCCATGAGTATGACTATATGCTGGATTTTGTGGGGTCTTCCTAGCAAATCATCGAACACCTACCTTATTGGTGGTTATTTAGAGAACACTTGAGAGCTGTGTGCTATTGGTATTTATGGTATTTATGACAACAAGGCTCAGTGTCACAGCACTGCAGGAGAGATCTTGTGGTAGGGCTCAAACATGTTTCTCAGTACAACATTTAGGACACTTCTTCAAGTAATTCTAAGAATGATCATGGGCTTGCCCTCTGTGCTTAAATTTAAAGATGAATCCTTTAGTTTAATTAGTTGGGTTTTTTAAAGAAAGTTTTTCTAAATCCCCAGTGATTAGCACTGTGCCCGGTGTGACCTCCAACAGCGCTTGAAGACTGTGCTTCCCGATCCTGTCCTGGCCCTGCCTCCCCGCACTGCCTACTCCCCACGCCCTGTTCCTCATCGCACATACTCCAGGCAGTGTGAGAGCTGTAATGTCCAAACATTGATGTCCACATAGTTTCTTCTTGCAAAGTATAAAGTAATTCACTTTTCAGGTTTCTATATATTGCTAAGTACTATTCACAAGTCTTAGGAAAACTGACTTGTACATTTAGCCACATCTAATAATAATGATTTTCAGTATTATATGAATCTGAATCTAAATTCATATTTATGTGTAATAAATGAATTGACCATGCTGACTGAAAAAAATTTTAAAATATTAAATAACATTCTTCTCCTTTGGTACTATAAATCTCCCTGTCCACCTTTCATATGTACCCAATGAGCTATAAATTAATTTTTTTCCTTCTCTTTGAGAGTACCCTCGTACCATTTCTGGTATCAGTACTACAGCTGGCTGCCATTTAAACACTTAGGGCAGACTCTGCTGTTATTTAAATTTTAGGATGCTCTAGGCCAAGGTTCATAATCACAGGAAGCCACAGTTCATATGAGAATACAAAGTATGTGAAACCATTGTTGCTAAATCTCTATGGGGTAGGTGAAAATCAGGAATTGTGAAGATAACTCAGGACAAACACCCACCTCTACTGGTCTTTAGCTGGTACTAACAAATTCCTCTATTTCTGAAGCTCTAGAAGTTGTTTTAAAATATGAAGTACTTATATAAGAAACTCTTATAAATGTATCTATTTACTTATATTGAAACCATAACTATTTGCCTAGTCTTATGACTATATTGTATATTTAGCAAATACGTGATTTAAAATGTAGCAATTAACTAGCAGCAAGAATTAAAATTTTCTCTGGAAAAACTTTCTAGAAAAATAACCAAATTTGAGCATCTGATAGTTATCTGAGACCCATATGATAGCAAGAATGTTGATGGAGACTAGCCAAGGTTCTTCTTACTTGGGTTTGGGTAATTCCACCAAGTTCTGTTCTAGATTAGTTGTCAACATGCAGAATCTAGTGTCCTACCTATGCGACACCTTGGGGATCACTCACGGATACAACCAGATTAGAAACTGAAAGTATTTAGAAACTTTATAGCGATTTGACATAGCCATGGCATTCAAATAGATGATCACTTTTCAAGTAATTCATCATTATTGTATTTCACAAAGTATTTTGGTCTGTGATGGATTGGAAAATTTTTCTAAATGGCCCTTCACCACAGATAGTCTAGGAATTCTTGTTAAAAATTCAGATTCCTGGGCCCCAACACAAGACAATGGAACACAAATTTCTGGAAATGGGGACGTATTAGTCCATTTCTGTTGCTTACAACAAAATACACAGAACTGGGTATTTTATAAAGAAAATGAAATTTATTGCTTACAGTATTGGAGGCTGGGAAGTCCAAAGTCCAGAACACATTTGGTGAAGGCCTTGGTGGTTGTGACAGTGACTCAGGGGTCTCAAATAGCAGAAAATGACAGAGCAGAGAGAAGACTAGCTTCTAAAGTGCTTTTCTTTTAAAGCTTTCAGAACCACACCCCTGACCACCATTTTTAATCCATTCACTATGGTATGGTCCTACAATCTAATCACCTCTTCACGGCCCCACCTTTCAATTACCATAATAGGATTTCCCACCCTGAGCAGTTACAGTGGGAATTAAGCTTCTAATATATGAATGTAGAGCTGGGGCTGGGTCTGGAGCTCACAGACCCCTTGAGCCCGTTCACAAACTATTCACACACAGGTCTATGAGCTAGGTAACTGGAAAAAAAGGTCCTTGCAGCCTTGGTTGAAGGAATAATAAGCTTTATTCAGCACACTAGGCAGTCCAAAAAGAAACTCAACTGCTACTAGCTAACTCCAAAGAAAAACTGAGCAGCTGCCAGTAAAGTAAACATGTTCTATTTTTAGACACAAGTTCTCTGCGACCAGCAGTTCAGGGCCAAGGCTCCACATACTCAAGAACACACAAGAATAGCAACAAACTAAAAAATATACATGGGTATGCATGTGCAGTAACTCCACCCACATACAACTTGTTTACAAAGAATGTGCTGCACTACCCCCAACCGGACCTGAGGGTAGGGGGCCTGACTAAACTGCTCTATTTTTCTCACAATGAGATTTGGGGACACAATTCAATTAATCCACAGCAGGGGACAAGTCCCAGGAATCTTCACTTTAACAAGCTGCCCAGATCATTTCTCATGTTGAGGTTTGAGAATTACTGCTTTAGGGTGTAGGCCAAATGCCTCATGCATGATTAACATATTTTCCTACATACAACCTTGGCTTTTGAAAGCCATTCAGTTTAGGAATCAGAGTTGCAAAGGTCATAACTCGGACACGATTGACTCCAGGTCCATGGATGCAGTTGTGTTATTGGCTTATAGAACCACCTGGAAACAGAGACCTGTGGTTTTGGGGTGTAGTCTCACTGCTAGTTTGTACGGTACCTTTGTGCAGACACCCTTGAAACCACCTAACTGCCACATACAGGAAAAATGTTGTAACAAATACATGAATCAGTGATGCCATGATGGGAAGGACAGCCCCATCAAGGTGGTTCCTCGTGCACAGCCAGCACAGCACACACCATGTCCAGAAGAGAGAGAGCCACGAGTGCTGGGGCCATGTGCAGGAACCTGTTCTGCAGCCACTGCTCAGAAAACACTGGAGCCATCTTTAGCTCCACAGATTCTGGCCCTGGGGAAACATCTCCTGGGAACACACACTCCAAAGAATGTCATGTTTTTTAGGTTTAAAGTGACTAGTTATAAAAGGAGAATTTAATTCTTCCTGGGCAGATGGCTTTCTCACCAGCCATGCCATTTTCTTATATATGATTTAATGCAGGGTTGGAAGAATGCTCATGGAGCCGTAATTGCTAACCAGGAGGAGGTAGACTGTTCACCAGCTGCATTGCATGTTGCCATGCGGGTGCCATCCGCCTGTATCCAGGAAGCACTGCTTCCTTGTTCTCAGTTGATTACACCTCAATCACAGTTGCACTGGGCCATCCCGAGGGAGGGGCTGCAGCAGGCAGTTGGTTGGCTGGAACGAAACTGGTAGATCTGGAAGACGAGAGGAACTGACCAGTCACCTGAAGTTTTGACATTGCTCTCCATTTGCACTACGTAACCCTTCTCTTTGTTAAGGCCCCTTCTCTCCCAGCAACCCTCATACAGAATTCTGCACGGTGAAGTAATTGGGGAACATGACTGTCCTCAGCAACAAATATTGGCTATAACAGAAATTAACTGGGTGGCTTTGCATTTTTGTATAACAAGGAGTATTTCTTTCAGAAAAGGGATAAGCACATTTTTTATAAAAAAAAAATTAAGTTAAGGATGGCACTGGTGGTACTAAAAAACGAAAGCCTGTTAGCCAAGATCAAGACTCAGATTTGCTCAGTGATGGTTAGGTTTTGTAGCTATTTGAAGCAATAAAAAAAATTAAAACAACTGTAATACAGTTTCAGTGAGAAAAATAATTTTGTTAATATGAATCTTAAACTCTGTGTTCCCCAACTCCATTTTTTCCATCAAACAACTATTTAATAATAACTATTTCATGTACAGTTTTATTTTATAGGTTTTCAAACAACCATTTCATAGTCAATGTATAGTCAAGCAACTATTTTCAAGAAGCTTTTTATAACATTTGTTCCTTTGAAACATAATAGTCCTGCACTGCAAATCAGGTGATGCAAGTGTGTAGAATGTGACACAGGACAGTCTGATGTGGGTTGCAAATCTACCACTCCGTGGAGTATGCTTCCCTTAAGTTCAGTAACTTTGTCTTTTCTCTCTTTTTCCTGGGCCCACAGTCATCAACTGAATGAATGAATATGCAGTCATCCCCCCTTATTCACAGGGGTTACGTTCCAGGACCCCCAGTGGGTACCTGACACTGCAGATATTACAGAACCCCATCTACACTGTGTCTTTTCCTATACATGCTTATCTCTGAGGAAGTCTACTTTATAAATTAGGCACAGTAAAAGATTAACAACAAAAACTAATAATAAAGGAGAACAATTATAACAATGTACTGTAATAAAAGTTATGTTGAATTTGCTCTCTCTCCCTCTCCCACCGCCTCTCTCTCTCTCTCAAAATACTGTAATGTTTTCAGATCACGATTGACCTTGGGTAACTGAAACCATGGAAAGTGAAATGGGATTAAGAAAGACTATTGTATTTAGAATTAAATCCTGGTATGTCCCACACCCAATAAACTGCATGTGCCCCATTTAATGGCAGTGATAGCACTGCACATGTAAAGATAATAAGAAAGCAAGTGAAAAGCAAGGGTCTTTTGCTTCAGTCATTCCCAGTCACCACCACTCCAGAGAAACGGTCCCTCTCACTTGGAGTTGCTCATTGGGTTCTAATTTTCTTTTTGTGCCAGGAATCCTCATCATGATGTCCATGTGCAGAGAGGTGCACGTGTATGAATACATCCCGTCCGTCCGGCAGACGGAGCTTTGCCACTACCACGAGCTGTACTACGATGCCGCCTGCACCCTGGGTGCCTACCACCCGCTGCTCTACGAGAAGCTGCTGGTGCAGCGCCTGAACACGGGCACCCAGGCAGATTTGCATCGCAAGGGCAAGGTGGTCCTGCCAGGCTTCCAGACCCTGCACTGCCCTGCTCCAAGCCCCGCGGGTCCACACTCTTAGAAAGAGACTCTTGGGAATCAATGTGCAATAAGGTACTACTGTCATCCTCCAAGTTACAAAAGGATACTTGAAGACAGATTTTAGATGATGCAGTTTTGAGTCTTTAAACTGTCATGTAGTGGTGGCCATAAGAATTCTTCTCTTTCTAAGCCATTGAGTATTTATTACTGCTTTGAATATAGAAGTGGAATCTTTTAAAACAGCTCAAGAAAGATGCAAAAAAAAAAAAAAAAAAAAAGGATAGCTGGAAAGAAAACAAATGTTTAACCATGGTATTATACCTACACAGATGTTAACCTTTTCTTATGCCATGGGTAACCCTTATCAGGGTTGATTTCATCTGCAGGTTCCAGTGATACTCCTGATAACATGGAATGGTTTCCATCTAGAAACATCCAGGTTGAAGCACAGTGCCCGCAGCATCCAGTGTGTCACTTTACATGCTTTCATCATTAAATGTCCTAGACTTTATGATGAATGTCACATGACACATCTGAGTGATAAGTCAGACGTTTATCATAAAATCTAGGATATTCAATGATGAAAGCAAAAACCCCCAGTCTGTCCAATCAAGTGCACGTGTTTCCAGCCCTTGCAGTTCCCATCTCTGCCTCCCACTGCCCACTGACTGCTTTGACCACTGTGTATCAGGAAAGATTTCTACAACCATAAAACATCCCTCTTGAACAGTCCAAGAAAAAGCCAAACTCCCGATAGCACCACAGAGGATGCCCTTTGTTTCCCTGCAATAATTTATTTACTTGACTAGGAGTGTTAGTCACACACAGATAGAGAAGAACATCACCAGCAAGTAAGTACAGAATTGCAGAGCTGCAGGGTGACCCCGGAAGTTCCCTGGCTCCAGCTTTTCCACCTTGTACCTCCTTGCCTGCAGGTTCACCCTGCAGCTTTAGCACAGCCAGTGAGTGACACATGACAATTGGTACAGCCCAGACAACTTGCACCTTTCATACTAGAAGGAAGAACTTCGGGGACTGTGCCCATGCTGCTGGGATGCACACCTATCTCTTTTACGCGTATTTCTTGCAGGTTTTATCAGCTACTGGAACTTGACACTGCACTGAATTTTCACTCATTCTTCCTACTAACATTCGGGAATCCAGCCCTTGTTTTCACAGATACGTTTTATGTCAGCAGCATGACAAAGCCATATAATTAAATAAAATTGTGTCAAAGCATTGCTCTTTAACAACAAGGAAAATATGTATATGCTTCAGAGGGAAAGACAACTAGAGGGAAGTTTTCATCCCAATGTGTTAGCTATATTCAGGGTTCGTAGGGTTTTTTTAATCTCAGCTTCTGTTACTGATACATTAAAAAATTTTTTTTTTTGCTATGAATAGAGTGAAATAGAAACATTTTTGAATACCTTAATTAAACATGCTATTATCTCAATATATAACCAGAACATATCTCAGTGGTACAGTTGAGACTTCTTGGCAATGATGGTAGCAGCTTAGCGAAATACATTCTCCCTTGCCAAGTGTATGAAGGTCAGGAGAGTTTGGTGGAAAACTTCCTTTTTGTTTCAGGATTGGTTTTTTCCAGAGTGCTCTCAGGACTACTTTCTTGTCTACAAATGGTTTACAGAGACTTACAGCTTCTGTCTGGTTAGTCTACTCAGCAAAAATCAAGTTGGATAACAGGCATCTGCTATGGCTTATTATAATAGTGAAGTTGGAGTAACTGAAAAGTTTTAATGATGACAATATCCAAAAAAAAGCCCATTTTGAGAGTTTCATTACTACATCTATGAGAAGTGATGGGAATTTTGTCCTATACATTAACTTATGTCTGAGAAGACATGGTCTAGGCATGTTTCTAATTTCCTGAAAGAGCTTGGTCTTGTCCACATGTTTGTTGTCCACATGTTTGCATGTGTGTAATAAGTTTAGTAACTCAAGTGAGGTAGCTCGGATATGGGATGAATATTTCTCCTGCAATCCTTGGATTTTTCTGGATCTTGCAAGCTTTGCCTTTAAATGTCCATGACTGTTGAAATTCTTTTTACAGTCTTCTGAGTGGATTTACTCACCAGCATGCTTACTATCCCGAACAATCCCCCTTTGGTGACTTGAGGACTTGATTAGAGAATAATTTATTGAGGTCATTGTAGACATTCAACTTCAAAAGCCCCAGAAAACACTTTAAAGATATTTAAATAGCTTTTAATTATAACGCATATACTTTTAAAAGAATACTTTTAGATTCACTGAGGTTACAAGAAAGACTGAAGAGCATAAAAGAAATTTAATTAAAATTTCTGAATTCATTATGGCCTTAAAGACTCTTGGGAATCAGGGTCTATTAAACATTCAGAAAATGTAGTACACATATTAATATAGTGCTGGCTGGGCATTCTTCTATTTAAAAGTATAAATTGTTCAGCCTCTCAGAAAAGTTAGGCAGTTATAGTTAACATGACAGCTGCCTCTAGTTTTAGCCAAATGGGTCCTACATGGCAATATTTTGCCAGACATTGATTAAGTCATCACATGCCACATTTATGGAACTGTAATAAACACACAGCCATTCTGTGGAGCAGTTAATAATAAATGGTATCTCACTGCATTTCTCCTAGGCTCTTTCTCTTCCAGAACCCTCCATCCTCTTTTGTGAAGGGACATTGATAAAATCCTCATGGTGCAACCTGAAGCCATTAGATGTTCCTTTTTCCACTCTCAAGACTAACAGATGTCACATTGCTTTGCATTTCAAGATTTCACTCTATCTTTTGATGTTATAGTTACCACAAAGAAACAAATGTTCACCAAGAATAACAACTCAGCTGCATCTAGATGTTCTCTAACTTGTTTCTCCAGTTGGTCGCACCCTATAGGAGGTTAACACTTAACGGGCGTGGTGTTCTCACTGTCCCCATGGAATGAAATGCTGGTCCCCCATAGTTGACCTTCCCCACTGCATCCTTGTGGGGCTGCTTTGACAGAGAACTCTGTGCACAAGGCCAAGAGATGGTCAATTAAAGTTGCACTTGCGCATTGGGGCGTACATTAAAATGGCCAAGTAAATGACTTTTACACATCTCTGAATGTCCAGTTCTTTTCTGTCTGCCTGGACGCAGAGCTCAGGGTGCCCTGCCTCAGAAACAGCACTTTCCATGTGTCTCCTGCCCTTGCATCCTCAGCCAGACAGCTATTCAATCCTGGAACCCCCCCAGTAATCCTCTATCATTGTAGCCATAGCGTCTGGACAAAAGCAATGCTAAAATAATCATTAGCATTTTCAAAACTGGGAAATCGAAGAAACTGGGTTATTCTATTACATGTTTATGAGCCAATTCATTCTGCCTGGACAGATTATACCTTATGTTGTTGGCTGACCCTCCCGGACAGCAACACTTACATCTATTGAATTAATTAGGTCCTGTTTGGGTGCATTAAGTGGCATCAATCTCAGATGAGTGATACAGTATGTGATGGAAGAATTTTGTATGCACAAAGGACAGTTTTTCTTGCAGATTAGTGCACAGTGCATGTTGGAGGCTGGTGGCCGAAGTTATTTGGTCCCATTTCTTCTTAGCTATGAGAAGAGACAGTAAGGAGGTGGTGAAGCCAGGAGAATTACCAGAGAGACATGACTGAATATATAGGCCACATAGTCTCTGAATATGTTCTACTGTATTGTCTGTTTCAATTTCTAACTCTGATCGTTTAGAACTCTTAGATAGTGGTTTAGAACTCTTACCCTGACTGATCAAGGCATCTCCATTTAGAAATTAATTGCTAATGTAAAATGTGCCAGAGTTTAAACTAGTCTCTTATTCCCTGGATGTTTTTCATTGTGAGATTATTCTGCATGTTTCTGTCACTCAGGCATCATTAGCACACTTGGTAAATGAAAGGTATTTCTCTCTCACTTCAGCATCTCCATTTAGAAATTAATTGCTAATGTAAAATGTGCCAGAGTTTAAACTAGTCTCTTATACCCTGGATGTTTTTCATTGTGAGGTTATTCTGCATGTTTCTGTCACTCAGGCATCATTAGCACACTTGGTAAATGAAAGGTATTTCTCTCTCACTTCAAGGAAATATATTGTAAGTTTTGATTCTTGTTTTAGTAGATGATTGAAGCCTTTTAGTAAGAAAAAGGTAATCTAGCACATTTATGGTTAAGCTTGGGCTAATGAAATTAAAAGGACATTGGTTTCGTTCTTACTCTTAGTATAAAAAGTGTGCATGTAGATATAGTTATATAACTGTATATATACATATCTACACACATGGTTGGTTTTATATTGTGTTTTCCCATCAATCTTTTTGGTTGAAACTTTTAAAATAAATTTTAATTATGCAAAATCTAATTTTTTAAAAGAAGGAAGTAAATGTTATATGTCTTTCTGTTAAAAAGAAATTCAGTCCTCCACCGCCCCCTTCCCACACACTCATATTCTACACATCTTGGCTACATTTTAAAAAGTATGACTGAAATATTTAAAAGGCTCGATGAAAGTAGAATCACTACTTTAATAATGTAGCCTAGTTGGAAGCGTGATTTAACTCATTTTGAAGAGAAGTTTTTCTATAGTTCATGGCTTTTACAGGATTAGGAAAAGAAACATTTATCAGTATTATGGAAAATAGTCTTCTTAGTAGGTAGGTTTCAAACAAATAAACTAAATTGGTAGTGTTGAAATCTAACGTTTGTAACACACATCCTGTTTTACTCTAGATGAAAAACGTATAAAATTCTTCCAGTGGAAACCAGTGAACTTTTTTAACAGCTTTGGGGATTTTTTTGTATGATAATTTTTAAAATGAAATGTGTGCTCTTTAAACTAATTAAGGCTGAAGTTTTCCAGGAGTCGCATTTTGAAAGTGTTTGTACACATTTTAACACTTTGATATTTTCTATTTTGGTTTTGTATATTTTTATGTATACACAGTGTACAGACTTTCTTCTGTAAATAAAACATGTTTTCATTTGTCTAGAAGTTTCTCTGTTTTTAATTTATAGAAGTTACACATACAGATGAGGAAGTGGCAAGATAATGAGCCATCCCTAGGGGAATAAAGGCACAAAGCCGAAATCTCATTAGAAGACTGGGTGTCAAAAGAAGTCACAGCAGCACGCCTTCAAACTGTGGATGTGGACGCAGCCTGGTGAAACCGGAGGTGGGTGGTTCTCTCTTCCAGGGGTTAATTGCCATGTGCAAGAGGATGCAAGTGCCCCGATCACAGAGACAAGGAGCATCAAAGCTAACGTGTCCTGATGTGTCTCAGTGACTCAGCACTGGGATTAATTTATTGCCTTGGGGACACTTCCCCAGCTTGACAGGGCTTTAAGTCTTAGAAAATATAAGTTATTAGGGAAAAATGTAGAGACACAAGTCACCTACAACCCACCACAATGTCAAATTAGCCTTGGTATTTTCATACATGCCATGTAAAAGGAAAATCCGTTTACTGGGTTCCTGGAAAGAAATTCCAGGTCAGTTGTGCTTTTCTCGTTACATTGTGAAGGAAACCTCGAATGAGGAAGGCTTCAGGGTTTGGGATGGGAGGAGGAATGTGAGCAGGTGGGGAACTCAGGAGACATCAGTCAGCGGCACAGCTGTGCTGAGTTGAGAGGACTCTGCCACCTCTGCCCATCACATTTCGTTCCCACAGGATGACTGCTTTCTTCCAGGCTCTGCAGCCCCGCTCAGGAATGGCCAGGGCAGGATGCTCAGAGGATGCCGTTCCTCTCTCAGAGCATGTGGGGAGGAGCCCTTGAGATCTACATACTGCAGGGAGATTATGGGAAGAAAAAGAGTCACCTGAGACAGGAAGCATTCAGAGAGAGGAGGAGGGAGTGGAAGGAGGTGGCAGCAAACAGCCAGGTGGGGAAAGAGAAAGCTAAAGGGGAGGGGGAAAAGAATAAGTGTCAAGGTCTCCAACCCCATTTGCATATCAAGTCATTAATTCAAAAACAAAACCATTTTCTGACAAAAGTCACACCAAAATGCAGGTGACCCAGCTGAATGTACTAAAGAGCTGTGTTCAAGAAATCCCACTGAACAGGATGTGGCAGGAAGGTCTCCTGCACTAAGTCTTTACTAGAGCTCACTGCCTGTAGCAGGGCTTGGCAAACTGCAGCCTATGGCCTACTTTTGTAAATAAAGTTTTATTGGAACACTCATGCTCATTCATTTACACATCTGTGACTACTTTCACACAACAAAGACAGAGGTGAGGAGTTGCAACAGAGACCCTGTAGCCACCAAGCCTAAAATATTTATCTGGCCCTTTACAGAAAATGTTTGCTGACCCCTGATCATAAATACAATCTGCCAAGAACTATTTAGGCCAGCCTTGGGTAGATTGTGTGCATGTACTCGTCACAAAAACACCGGCAAGGGAAGACATTATATTAGCCTCAGGTAAGTTGGGAGCAGAGAAACTGTCATTGGCCTGCAAACACACAGCCAGGAAATTTCAGAGCCGGACTTGCAATCCTTGTCTGACTTTGAAGTTCATGCTCAGAGTCATTATGTTGAGCTTTGAAAAGTAGTCTCTCCCTGAGATACTGCCGTAATACTCAAAAATTCCCACCTCAACCAACTCAAAGGGTCCATCTTTGGAGCATAATTATACTTTGAATACTATGAGAAACTATACTTTGAAATTTAAGGAGACTATCAACAAACTTTTCCAAAGGCTTTTCCAGTTCTGCAAAACTCCAGAGCATTGAAATGTGTTTGAACTGCAGTGTTTGTTACAAGAAGCTGGCCTCTCTGATGTTACAGCCCAGCGAAAAGGTGCCTCTGCTGTAAGCACCACAGAGAAAGCAGCTTTGAGGACTGACATCCCATAAGCTGTCCTCCAGCCACTGTCCTAACTACATTGTATCATGCAGGAGACACAAGCACTTACCTCCCAGGATAAGGCACCGGCTGAAAAACTGATCAAAGAAGTCAATGTACAAGGAATGTCAATGACTTTGGAATACACGTCTTCTCCTGTCATCACTGATGTCCTTAGGGTCCAAAAGGTGGAGAAAAAAGAGGGTAGAAACAGCAACATGCGGTTTGGTTGTGTGAACAACAATGCTGGCATGAAGAGGTTAGAGAGGGTGAGTTCCAAGTGCATTAGTTCCCATCTATGAAACCAGTTAGGGAGAACCCGGGGGCCTGGCAGACCTACAGGAAGACATCCAGGGAAGTAGATCTGGGCGACAGTGACTCTCCAGAGCTGCTCGAGGGAGAGCGTGCTGCAATCACACTGCAGAAGACTCTCTCCTAAGCTCCATAGGAGGTCCGTGTGAGAAATACATCATTGTCTCTTAACTAAACTTAATTCCTACCTCAAATCCCCTTCCCAACACAACGTAAAGCTATCATGTTCATCCAATCTAAGACATCATCAAGTATAAGATGCACCATTTTTTGTGTACAACCACAAAAGAAAAAAACTGCTGTAATTAAACTATAACATGAGTCTCACGTCTCAGTCAGGCGTGACCCATGAACCACAGGAGCCACAAGCCACGTGTGGAAATGGAACAGTAGAAATGTGGCCAGTCCCGAATTGAGATGTGAAGTGTGAAATACATACCGGATTTCCAACCCTTAGTGTGAAAAGGTGAATGTAAAATACTTCAGCAATTTTGTTATATGGATTATATGTTGAACTGATATTTTAAATATATCGGTTCAAATGAAAAGATATCACTAAGATTAAATATTCCTTTTTACATTTTTAGACATGCTTACTAGAATATTTAAAATTAAGTCTGTGCTTGGAGGCCCCCAGAGAGGCCTGAGAGGTGCCAGGCCCATGCACCCTGAGCCACTCATGCTGGAGCAGGTAGGTGCTGCTGTGGGACTCCCAGCCCTGGCCAGTGCACACCACCCAGAGAGGCCCAAGAACTGCCAGGCCAACATGTCCCCAGCCACCCTCACCAGAGCAGGTAGGTGCTGCCATGAGAATCCCAGCCCAGGCCAGTGCATGCTGCCCAGAGAGGCCCTAAAGCTGCTGGGCCCACAGGGCCCCGAGACACCGATGTTGGAACAGGTAGGCACTGCTGCGGGACTCCCAGCCCAAGCCAGTCCACATGGCCCAGAAAGGCCCAAGCCTCCCACCCACAGGCACCGAGGCAGCCATGCCAAATTGGCAGTCCCAGCGGGATCCTAGCCAGACATGAGGGTCAAAGGAGTGGACCGTGAAATCCCCTGCCGAAATGACTAAAAGCCAAAGGAAAGTACCAGAAATATGAAAAATCAAGAAAGCACAGTACCACCAAAGGCAATAATAACTCTCAAGCTCTAGATCCTATAGAACAGAAAGTCCTTGAAATGACTGACAAGGAAATTCGAGCAACAATTCTACGGAAACTAAATGAGATGCAAGAAAACTCAGTTAGACAACACAATGAAATAAGAAAAAGTATACAGGACCTGAAAGAAGTAATGTACAAAGAAATCAATGCCCTGAAAAAGAATGTAGCAGAGCTTGAGGAATGGAAGGATTCATTCAATGAAATAAAAACACAACAGAGAGTTTAATCAACAGGCTAGAGAACAAGCAGAGAAGAGAATTTCTGACCTTGAAGATAGCTTGTTTGAAAAACACAAGAGATGAAAAAGAATTTTAAAAATTGAAGAAAATCTAAGAGAGAGAACAGACAACCTTAAGCACTCAAATATCCAAATCATGGGTATTCCAGAAGGGGAGTAAAAAGGAAATGGAATTGAAAACATATTCAATGAAATAATAGTAGAAAACTTCCCAGGTACAGGGAAAGACACAGATCTTCAGATTCAGGCGGCTCAAAGATCGCCAAACATATTCAACCCAAAAAGGTCCTCTCCAAGACATGTTACAGTCAGATTGGCAAAACTCAAAGACAAAGAGAGAATCTTAAAAGCTATAAGAGAGAGGTGTCAAGTCACCGTAAGGGAGCCCCAATCAGACTAACATCAGACTTCCATCAGAAACTGATCACTTAAGTTATTCTTAAAACATTTATATTCCGAGTCAGTCTGTTCTGAATCACTTTTTTAATGAGTCATCAGTTTCTACGATGTTTTCCACCCCGAATTGTCTGTGCGCCATCAGAAGCAGAGGTGACACACCACCCAAGAGGGCTCTACCATTGTCTCCAAGGTTTTCTTCTAAGATTCTCACACATACTGAAATTGTGATGTCCACAAACAGCTGATGACTAACTCCTCAGAACAGCTGACTGGCAAATACTGACTGCAAGATGCATTTCAATTTTGAAGATGTTAAAATGGTAGGAAGAAACAGATCTCGGCGTTAAAGAGAAACAGTATTTCTAATCTAGTATGGGTTTAGCCCTATTCTTTCCCCAGATTTGTGTTTAAATTCTGGATTGCAGCAAAGGACTTCTAGTACAGCAGAATAAGGCCTTCCAAAAATCCATTCCATTCATAAAAGCAAGAATAGTACTGGTAAGAACTGTCAAAATCAAATTTTTCATACTAAGAGCTTTCAACAATCCAAGGAGTGTTTACTCAAGAAAAACTAGGCTAAATTTCAGTAAAAAAGTGAGCTTTGTGTCATTTTAACTTGTCCTACTCTCTTGCCTTTCTCCCCAGCTTCATGAGACTCTTGAACACCAATGGGTGTACCACTGTGGTAGCTGTGAAAACCAGAAGGCTCACAGCCACTGGAGGGCTCAGAATAGCCTGACGCATCCTGAAGGTCTAGAGAACTGTCTACATTTCCTACAGCTCACTGAAAAGTTCCATTCTCAGTGACTGTAGTAATTTTACCTGACTTAGAGCTCATTCTGGGCTAACAGCCCTATCCCTAGGGTGCCTGTTGAAAACAATCAGTGGCAATTGTGTAACAGTGCAGCTGTCAGTGACAGTGATAACAGGTGGGGCTAACGAGAGGCTGACCAAAAAACTTATAAGGAAAAATTTGGGGATGAGATGTCCTTAGTGGGATTTGAAACGCTCTGACAGATTCCTGCAAATCTAGAATG